TAAATAAAATAAAAATAAATATTGATTTTTTTTTTCTTTTTATTCTCTTATCTCCAACGTATAGGTAGAGTTTTCTTCCGGCCGTAGTAGAGGATATACCGCATTCATCTCCATGGTGCTATGGGTTTCTTGTTTAGTGAGTTTTATTGCTTTATTATCTTCCTGCGGTGCGCTTGGCGATGGTGGTGGTGGTGGATTCGGCTGTTGTCTTTCAGGTCGCCCCCGTCTTCCCAGATGTAATAAAAGATTTGTAAGAGAATCCCAGATCGCTCCAAGTAGATATATTGACCATCCATATACGGTATGTAAGGCATATCCGTGCACAATTGTGTCTAATATTAACTTGGAAACTCTTGCAATTAGATATGTGCCGAGTAGTCCAGCGCTGATATTGCCGAAAAATAGAAACTTATTCCAGAATTTTTTCCAAGCGGAAGCGGCTATCTTTTCCATTGATGCTTCATCTAATAAATTGGAAATGGAGCCCCCTTGTAGAGAGGTGGATCTTCCCATTACTCCTCTTGCTACGGTGTTGAGTACTGATGGTCGCTCAGCCGGAAACATTATATGATCTCTAAGATCTCTTAACTCTCCTTCAGAATATATGCCACTAGTGGCTAGTGACCCTGGGTTGATGTACTTCCAAGTAGGCTTGGTTAATGGTTTCATAATCGTTGGTGGTAAAGTATCTACCGGATTAGGTATAAATTTGTACCATGAATCTCCTAAGAGGTACATGGCAGGTGCAAATGGATTGCATACAGTTTGTGTTCCGTGTTGTAATATTATATGAGTCTGAGGCGTTAAGAAATGTGTTCGATTTTCTCGGATTACTGGTAATTGATCGTAACATTCTTTTGTTCTTGCGAGTTTTACATCTATTGGTACGCATTTGACTATGTGAATTACTTCCCCTGCTAAAAGAGCCATATATCCAGGTCCTTTCATTAGATGATATGCGAAAATATCAGGTGCTTGAGTAGCTATTGCTAATGCGTTGTGTAACATTCGTTTTTCTAAATTACATTGGTGTAGTAATAAATTTCTATAAAGTTCGTTTATTTGAGTGCGGACATGTTTCTCTACGTATACGAATTTAGAATTCATATAGGTAAAGATATCGAGATTTGAGATTCCAGATTGCTTTTTAAAAACAGTGGTACCGCGTACGGTCTCGAAAATTAATAGTTTAGGATGCTCTGTTGTTATTAATGAATATCCACATGTATTGTATTTTCCTTTGCTAGTCAGTGCGAATACCGTGTCTTGTGTGGTTAAAGAGTAAACTGTTTGCGGATGATCTTTATCTTTATCGACTATTTTGTATGCGTACCCCTCGAATAATATTCCGAAATTGTAAAGTTTGCAAGTATCGGTAGGTACTGGATCCCAATACGTATCTCCTCCTTCTACATCTGTACAGTGTGTGGAGCCAAATTTACATGCTACACCCGACCTGAGCTGTACTCGGTTAGTGTTTATTTTTACGTCTGCTATATAATCTTGTAGTGTAATTCTTACGCTTGCAAGTATTATTACGTCTGTCCATGTTCCATAAGGATCGGAATATGCTCCTCCGATACAGCCTCCGTCGTTGTTCACACTGCCAGCGAGTGTTATTGGACGTGTAGTGGTTTGATTTGATTTTAAGCCAGTTATGTAAGTATTTGCCATTTGATAGGTACCATAATCGTGCATTCTTCTGCATATATCGCGAGGTATTTCTTCTATGTATGAATACTTTCCGTTATATACATCCATGGTGTGAGAGAACATTCCACATTTTTTTATTAATCGGTCAATTTCAACTTTACACTGTATTACTTTTGCAGATTTAATCGTGCATCTTTAGGGTTATCTGGGTTTAAAAGTTTCTTGTTTTTCATAATTTTACAATCTATTTCTTCGATATTTACAGGATTTCTAGATAATGCGTCTGATCCTGCAAGTCCTAAAAATTGTTTAATATTCCTAGGTGTTTTAGGCCTTGGAAATCGTTGTACCGCTTCTAATTGTTTCGCATTTGGTTTTACTCCGACTTTACTGATTACGTGTCCCAGATAAGTTACTTTCGTTTTTAAAAATTCGCATTTGTCTGGCTGTAATTTTAAATTAGCTTCTCGAAGACGTTCCATTAAAGCGTTGTATTTTCTTTCGTGTTCTTCTAAAGACGTTGCATAGATAACAATGTCGTCCATATAAACGAATAATTCTTTACCTTGTAACCCAGTTAATACTAAGTCCATTAGGCGCTGGAAAGTAGCCGGAGCATTTTTTAAACCGAACGGCATTCGATCAAATTCATACTGTCCAAAAGGAGTAGTGAAAGCTGTTTTATGACCATCTTCGCGGTTCATTTTTATTTGATGAAATCCAGATGCTAAATCGCATACTGGAAAATATCGAGCTCCTCCTAATTGGTCTAATA